GCTACGCCCACCAGCCAATCAGGATGAGTATGCAAATTAACCCAACAAAGATGGCGGTTAATTTGCATATGCAGGCACGGAGCGAAGACTGAAGACGACTGAAGACTTGGCTTCTCCCAGTCTTCTCCGTTGCAACCGGAGCAAAGAAGCCAAGCCTCGCTGCAGCCGGAGCAGAGAAGCCAAGCCTCATCGCTGTGGCCGGACCAAAGGCCTGCGTCCTAGGTGCCGGAGGAAAACCAGTGCTGGCAGCCAGGGGAAGGAAGGCCTATTGCGCAAATCTTCATGCAACGGGCCTCTAGTATGAATTATAATAAAGACTGTTCATTAGTCATAATTTCTTTTTTTTTTTTTAATCTGTCCCCTCTGGAAATATAAGAGAATTTCCATTGAAGTAACTGCAGGACATAGAAGACTCTGGAGTCATGATAAATGTTTTGAGTTCTACCTTAACTAGATTGGTTAAGACATTTATTTATTTTTAATTGATTTCAGAGAGAGGGATAGAAACATCAATGATCAGAATCATTGATTGGCTGCCTCCTGCACACCCCCTACTAGGGATTGAGGCGGCAACCCAGGCATGTGCCCTAAACGGTAATTGAACCATGACCTCCTGGTTTGTGGGTCGATGCTCAACCACTGAGCCACACCAGCCTGGCAAGACTGGTTAAGTCTTTTAAACTATCAGAATCTGAGTTTGTCTTTAAGCAGAGATTCTACAATACTGTCTCTCCCTCACTCCACTCCACTGCGACTCACTGGCCTTTCTGCTGTTCTTTTAATCTACCAAGTGCACATGTGCCACCTTAGGACTTATGTACTGGCTGGTATTTGCCGAGCCTACACTCATCCCAGGTATTCAACATGGCTAATGGCCACACCTTCAAGTCAGCTATTATCTTCTCAGTATCAATTTTAAACCTATTTAAAAATCACCTTATCCCACATGCCCCATCCCACTGCCAGCCAATCACCCCCTTAAACTGCTCTTTGTTCTTTTATAACTTAGCATCTGCTACATATTATAGAACTTATTTATGCCCATCATTTTTGTTTTGCTTATTGTCTTACTAGAGTATAAACCCTACTAAAAAAGAGACTCTTTGCTTTTTTCATTAATGTATCCTAAGCACTTAGAACAGCATCTGACATTCAATATTTGTTGAATGAATGCAATGAGCACTTCCTGCCCTACCCATCTCATAGAGTTTCTTGAGCATTAAATGTATAGCAAAGTGCTTGGGAAATTATAAAGCACTACTATACAAATGTAGTTATTACTGCAATAATGAGTACCTGTTGTTTAATACCATTTCTATGAGAAAATATGATATCCTATACAAGGATACGAAAACTCACCCTGTTTTGTTTTACCGTTTACCTTTTTTTAAATACCAGACTCTTAAAGCCTTTCTTATTCATGCGTTTCCCCAACTAAAGGATTGATTAAACAAGAAATAACAATAAAAAGGCAAAATTATGTAATTTTCTCCACAACACACTGAAGTGCTTTGTAACCTGTATCTGGACATTTTATACTAATGCCAGATCTGTCCTTTTAACTAACAAATCCTCTATTACTATTAGCCTGGCCTAGAACAGGTGCTTTGTGATCCTACTGGCTTGTTCATGCTTGTTTCAACCTCAGGTCTAGAAAAATGAAGTAATCTATGCTCCTGAATGATTTTATTTTGTCCTTTGCCTAATGTTAACTTTAGCAGAACCTACGATCTGTCAAACTTTACATCTATAACAGCCTTGATTAGGGCTTTCTCCCTAGATACCGGACTACAGAAAAGCTTCTTGAAATGCTTTCTGCCAGTCCCTGTTGCTTTGCAACCCCGTAGTATTCCAAAGGATTTGCTGATGTTGCAGAACACATGAGCACTCTCATTGTCAACCAAGCCCCAGTCACAATACTAACATCACATGGCAATGACTAAGGCTGAATGAGAACAAAGGGGCAGTGGCAGTTTTAGCAATAGAAAAGTGACCACAACAACTCTTGGTTAAGCAGCTTTCTCTTAGGGCAGATCTCTCCATGACTGTGAGCTACAATGAAGTGACATGGTAACTTAAACTTTCACTTTTGAATATTTTGAATGTTCCCTATTCTACCCAATTAGTTTAACACCTCTAAATTCCTGTTAATTTGGAAAAAAGTGCCAAACTAAGAGTCAGAAAACTAGATTCTAATAACAACTAACCATATGACCTTAGTTAAGTTTTGACCTTTATACACTTCATAAATTTCTTCTTCTTTATCTCATAAATGGGATTTGTACTTTAAAATTTCCATAGTACTAAATATTTAATTATTTTTAAAGGCCTTGTAAAGCAGCTCAGCAGTTATGTTTATTTTTTTTTTAAAATACATCCTCACCTTTCACCTCTGTTTCCCAATAAGCCTTAGAACCAGTATTGCTGGCAGGTATCTATTCTTCTCTTCCTTGATAAATAACTATTCAATACTTTTCTTCATTTAGATTCAAACTACAATGCTAAAAACTCCTAGAAAGCCTATCTCTGACAAAAAGATAAAGCTTATTTTGGAAATGTTACTTTTTAAAAAGTTAATTTTAATTAGAGCTTTTAAAATAGATTTTATATAGGGAGTATCATTACCATACCAATTGAAGAACAATAAAAAATGAATATAAAACATGCTCTAAATAAGTCAATGGGATTCAATTTATAACTTGAATGAGATTTTTCTGAACTTTTTCTAGTGCATTCAGTAATGTCTACAGAGAGCACATTGGCAGTAATTGTAAATTTCACTAATTATAACAAAATTTCAGTCATACAAACTTCAAAATTATTCTCAGAAATATTAAAAACCTCAAATAATTAAAAAAGAAATAGCTTCTTACTAGGCCAGTGATGGCGAACCTATGACACGCGTGTCAGAGGTGACACGCAAACTCATTTTTTTGGTTGAATTTTCTTTGTTAAATGGCATTTAAATATATAAAATAAATATCAAAAATATATGTCTTTGTTTTACTATGGTTGCAAATATCAAAAAATTTCTATATGTGACACGGCACCAGAGTTAAGTTTTTTCAAAATGCTGACATGCCGAGTTCAAAAGGTTCGCCATCACTGTACTAGGCTATTCATCAAACAGACTAATGGCAGGTGGGTTGTGGCCAATTTATGAAGAACCTTGTAGGTGAAGCTGAAGAATTTAAACTTTATCTTGAAATCAATGGGAATGGCATGCAAACTTAGGTTTTAAAAAAATATAACTCAGGTTACTTCCTTAGTTATGAGAATCCCAAAGCTTTAAGAAGGCTCTACTTAATGGTACTTAGGTAAGCAATTTTTTTCTATTAAACTAGGAAATGGACAAAGCCAATAAGTACTTCCTACTTTCTAATATGACTGCCTAAATATCTGTGCTAACAAATGACACTGTTAATCCTATATAATAAAAGGCTAATATTTAAATTGTCCCCTCCACCTTGAGTTCGATCTGAAGTTCAACTGGGAGTTTGACCAGGGGGTGGGGACAGCCCACCAACTGCCCGTGACCCCTCCCCAATTCGGGGTGGGGTCAGCCAGCCAACTGCCCATGGCCCCTCCCCCCAGCTGGTCCGGCCCGATCAGGGTGGGCCGGCCGGATGCCACCTGTGCACGAATTCGTGCACTGGTCCTCTAGTCTAAAAATAATTCACTTTGGGTCTAAAAGAACTTCTGACCTTCTCATGCTCTTGCAACGAAAGAAGAAACTATTTTCTAATTATAGCTGATCCATCAAAGTAACCTCAGAGGCACAACACAGAGTATTAGTCAAAAGTCAATGCTAAAGAGTAGCAAGAAGTGAGCAGGGAGACTTGGGTTTTACATTTTCATCTAAAGATTCTCAGATCTGCTCTGTATTTTCTTTTCCAATCTTTTGATAAAACTGACAGTCCAAGATGATGTGCCAACCTGCTTTATTTCAAAGGTATGCATGTCTCAGAATGAACAAATCAAATCAAATTAGGAAATTAAGTTAGTATTTCCTAAGCCAGTGGTAATGTACTGTGGTGGGAAGGAATCTAAATACATGCTAGGCATCCTAGCCAGTTTGGGTCAGTGGATAGAGCATCAGTCTGCAGACTGAAGGATCGTGGGTTCAATTCCATTCAAGGGCATGTACCTTGGTTGCAGGCTCGATCCCCCAGCCACGTGCGGGAGGCAACCCATCAATGTGTCTCTCACATTGATGTTTCTCTTCCTCTCCCCCTCCCTTCCACTCTCTCTAAAAATCAATGGAAAAATGTCCTCAGGTGAGGATTAACAAACAAGCAAAAATATATATAAATAAACAAAAATAAATACATGCTAGGCAGTGGTGAAAAATAATTCTAAATACAGTGGGGCCTTGACTTACGAGTGTCCCGACTAACGAGTTTTTCGAGATACAAGCCGTCTCTCGGCTGATTTTTTGCTTTGAGTTGCGAGCTAAAATTCGGGTTACGAGCCAGCTTCAGATACCCCACCGCTAGTTGGCGCAGCGAACGTCACAGTGAACGCCACAACATCAGCCCAGCATCACGTGTCTCGCTCATTCACTTTAAGATTTGACATACGAGTAATTTGAGTTACGAGCTCTGTCACGGAATGAATTAAATTCATAAGTCAAGGCCCCACTGTACTAAACTTGCACAGATGTCCCACCAAGGATAATGGTACCCTAATACCATTCTCTGACACTGCATGACAAGAGTCACCTGGCTTATATCCCAGCTCTACTACTTACTGGGGGTATAATTTTTAACAAGGTATTTAACATCTCTATGCTTTGGTTTCCTCATCTGTAAAATGGAGATAATAGCATGAAAAATTAAATAATACAGTACACATGAAAAGCACTAAGCACAATGTCTGTTACAAAAGTATGAATTCGAATGTTGTCAGTGAGTAGATAATTAACACAAGTAACTAAGAGTTGAGAACACCATTATTACTTTTTTCTTTAAAAAACATTAAATATTAAGATCTAAACTAATTCAAAACTAAGAAAGCAACTGAGGTCCTTTATACTAGATTTAATTTTTAGAAGCTGATTCTTCTAGTACTTATAAAAACAGAATAAAGAGGCAAAATCAGAAGATCCTGTTTTAAGTCTCATCTTTAATAACAACACTAATCAGATGAGCCTGGGCAAATCATTAACTTCTCTGTCCATTCATCCTATATAATAAAAGGCTAATATGCAAATAGACCAAATGGCGGCACAACCAAACAACCAAACAACCAATCGCTATGATGTGCACTGACCACCAGGGGGCGCACATGGAACATGGCGCGCACTGACAGCAAGCAGCAGAGCGGGGAACATGGTGGGCATTGGCCGCGGTGGGATGATGGAGCAGGTGAGCGGGGGCACCAGACCAAGGCATGGCGCCGGTCGCTGTTATCGGGGCAAGCCTCTGGTGGTTACTGAAAATTCTTTGCTCCCATGCACCGCGGTCCTGCCCGGTGCTTGCACCTGCTGCCAGCGTCAGCCCCGCTCGCACCCGCTGCTGGCACCGGAGCCGCCACTTGTACCCAATGACAGCGCCCGGCACCGGCCCTGATCGCTCAGCACCATCAGTGGGTGCGAGAGGTGGCTGTTGGTCCCGATCGCCCCTCAGGGCTTCTCCACCTCCTCCTGCTCCTGAGGGGTGATCGGGGCCGGCAGCCGCCTCTCACACCCACTGTCAGCGCCGGCCCCGCTTGCACCCACTGCTGGTGCCGGCCCCAATCGCTCCATGCCATCAGTGGGTGCAAGCGGGGCCAGTACCATTAACGTGTGGGAGTGGCAGTGGCGAAAGCAGGGCTGCCAGCAGACAGGGGACCAGGGGCCACAGCGGGAGGGGCTGGGCGGGGGCACGGAGGATGGGCCAAAACCCACCCCTGTGCCCACAACAGACTCACAACCCACAGTTCCTTTCAAGGTGCACGAATTCGTACACTGGGCCCCTAGTTAATATATGTAATAGAAGACATACAATCTGTCTATTCCAATACAAATGTATAGTGGTAGATTCAAATAAGATATACATAAAAGCTAATATTTACAAGGCACAATAGCTTAATTATAATTCAATTTTCCTATCAAAACTACAGACAAACATCACCCATCAAGAACATGCAGTTATAAGGTATACAAAAACTCCAGGCTTTATAAAATAATCTATTCTTTTGCATTAATGATGAAAAGCTATTTATAACAATTAGTAATGTAAGGCAAAAATCACAGTAATTCTATTATTTGCTAAAAATATTCTTCTCCTTAAGAAAAATAACAAGTAAAAAAAAGGTCTCAGATACTTAATAAAGATAACTACATAATCATTTTAACTGTGCTGGATTTTACAAATGCTGTAAGAGATTTAATCATTAAAATGATAAAATTTGGCCTGGCCGGTGTGCTCAGTGGTTGAGCATCGACCTAGAAACAGGAGATCCCAATTTGATTCCTGCTCAGGTCATATGTCTGGGTTATGGGCTCAATCCTCGGGTGTGGGACATGCAGATAGCAGCCAATCAATGATGCTCTCTCATCACTGATGTTTATATATTTCTCTCTCCCTCTTCTTTCCTCTCTGAAATCAGTAAGAAATATTAAAAAAAAAAAATAAATACAAATTAAAAATATAAAATTCAACTTACTTGTATCTGACAGTTTGTACTGTTTCTGCTGAAACATTGTTAACAATGCATTTAGCAGCACATTCCAATCCCTGCCAGACAGTTGAAAATCCTGCAAATATATTTAAAAGTAAGTAAAAGTAGCCCATAGCAAATAGACTTTCCTAGTTTAAATTTCTGGCCTTTATGTTACCTTGAACACTACTTGCTGCCACGACCATAGCACCATCCAGGGGAGACTTCCCATTTCTGTCTTTTTTAAGAGATTCTGGAACAAGTTTGCTTCCATGCTTCTTGACATGTGGAGCTAGTTCCTTCCCAACACAATTTGCTACAGTGCAAACTCCATCAACTATATAATCATAAAAAAAACCCACTTTTGAAATAATGTATTCTTCCCTTGATTTTACCACTCTACTTTAATAAAATTCTTACATAAGCATCTAAAGTTGTTTTACTGCATGTTACCATTTCTGTTTAAGGATAAGAACCAAGGCTGGCTATTTTTTAAACAAAGTCTATTGTTTGGTTTAAGGATGTGTCTTCAGAGCCTACTGATGTTTTGAATCCTGCTTCAAATATATGTTCTTTTTGGCAATTAGCTTAAAAGAGAAGGATGTGCCCTAGCTGGTTTGGCTCAGTGGATAGAGCATCGGCCTGAGGACTGAAGGGTCCCAGGTTTGATTTTAGTCAAGGGCACATGCCTAGGTTGCGGGCTCAATCCCCAGTGGGGGGCGTGCAGGAGGCAGCCGATCAATGATTCTCTCTCATCATTGATGTTTCTATCTCTCTCTCCCTTCCTCTCTAAAATCAATAAAAATATATTTTTTAAAAAAGAGAGAGAGAGAGAGAGAAGGATCTACCTTTTCTATCTGATTGCTGCAATGCAAGATGGTAGATCCACCTTTCAGGTTTTCCAGCTAAGGGTATTTGTATTTTTTCTCCATGTCCACAGATACCTCACTGAAATAGTAGTCAAGTATTTAAATCTACATAAAAGTAAACAAACCAAAATTTGATTCAAAAGAAAACTAGATAACAAAAAGATAATCTTACAAAATTTAAAGATAATCTCTAAGCAGCTATCTAACTATCTTAAAATACCAAACTTTAGAGTTGTCAAAGAAGGGTAGGTAGAAGCATATTGCTTGGGAAGGCTGACACCAGAATCACTAAATCAGCTTTATTCAAACAATATATCCCTTTCTCTTGACCCTCAACTACCATGCAGTGAACAGTCCTTAAAAGAATGTGTCATATTTGCCTAGCCAGTGTGACTCAGTGGTTGAGCAACAACCTATGAACCAGGAGGTCATGGTTTGATTCCTGGTCAGGGCACATACCTGGGTTTCGGGCTCAATCCCCAGTGGGGGTTGTGCAGAAAGCAGCTGATCAATGCTTGATGTTTCTATCTCTCCCTCTCCCTTCCTCCCTGAATCAAAAAAAATAAATATATCTATTAAAAATAGAAAATAAAATCAATAAAACATATTCTTTAAAAAATGTGTCATATTCAAGGATAGTAAACACATATTCAGGACCATTCCTTTTCAAAGATACAGATGCTCTCTTCTCTAACATGATCAAAACAACCCTTTAACCAGTGTTTCTCAAAATTTTTATACGCAAGTAAAAATCACCTAGGGAGCTCATAAAAATGCAGATTCTGAATCAGTATGTCAATTTCAGAAATATTGTTAAGGCTCTGATAGGTTGATGTTGATGGTCTATAGATTCAACTATGAATTGAAAGATGAAACTACTTTGTTCTAATTCTTTACTCGTAAAGATAAACTAAATTGAGCATTCAGATTAACTTGAATTAAGAGATTATTTGTCATTTAACTGAAAAGAAGTAAAGCCATCTAAAATCATCTTACCCAGGAACTGACTGACTTTCGCTGCTCCTCCTGTAGCCTGCTTTGCTATATGAAGTCCCCTGGTCACAGCTGGACTAACTTCCGCTGGTTTTTCTTCTGGTTGAATCCGTTCTCGGAGTTTAGAAGCACCTTTCTGGATTGCTTTGCCAGTAAATTCAGCACCTTTAACTAAACCCCAACTTACCCAGGAAGCACCTTTTAAAAGATAATTTTAAAATGCATAATATTATAGGGTGATTATACCTTTAAACCCTTTAATAACTAACTGATCAGCAGGAAAAAATCCAAGGAGTTCAAATATCAGATTCCAAACATGCCATAAACTTTCAAGCCAACTTTTTGCACTTACAGTTTTCTGTCTGGAATATACACATTTTCTAAGTAAATTCATCTTGAATACTTATATCACTCAATAAGAATCCTGTACCACTGTTTGCTGCCACTACAGCTTATACTGTACCACAATATACTATTGTTAGGGACTAATTTGGGGTAGTGGTGCCATTAAGATAGTATTTGGCTAGAAGACTCAGGTATCCTTGTTCTTTTTGCCTTAGTCCAAGCACCATGTTCTCCCCATGGAGTCCTTTAGGGTAATAGACACAAAGAATGCTAACTGGAAACCAAAGAATCTGTATCTCAAACACCAAGCAGAACTCTTGCTTGCTTGCTTTGGTCTAACGGCATAAGACAGGGGGCCCTGTTGCTCCCTCAATCTTAAACCCAAACCTTTGAGTCTCAGCACTTTTTAGCTTGCAACATAAACGTAAATGACAAAGACATGAGATCACTGAAGGAATGCATAAGAAAAAACCTAGAGAGAAGAAAACTGAGAGGCCTAGTTGGTGTAACCATTTCTCATGAGAGTAGGCTCTAGTCCTTTGCTTTGCTTGGGCTTCTTGCAGCATGAATAAAAGAAGAGACTGTCAGAGGGAAAGCAGGGTGGCAGAGACTTCTCTAGTGAATAGGCCCCCAAGGGGCACGTGGGTGAAGAAGTGGGAAGGAAATGGGAGAAGCAAGAAAAAATGCACAAGGAGAAAGGTTCCTCCTAAGAGGGGGCGGAAAGTGTTACCCTGCCCTGGAGAGAGCTTATAATTTTAACTATATCCTTCTTAGCAATACCATGAATCTAGTTTTTAAAATTAGACATATAAAATACTTATGTCCTGCCTAGGTCTGTGGCATGGTTCTTACTACTTCAGCCTATGAGTGAGCAAGTATCCAGTGATCATGTGAAAACCATAACTATTTTAAAATGCTAGCAACAAAATGTGCCAAATATAACTGATTAGAAAAACTGATATATTTCTCTTCCTGTTTCAGTAAACATGTCTACTTTCAGTTCTAACCCTGCCACCAGTGTCCTACCCTTGGGAGAGGATCAGATCTCAAACTCAGGCAAACAGGTTCCATCCATGAGTTTCCATAACAATAAAGGGATTGAAGATGTCTAGTAAAAAAAAAAAAAATGTGTTTCTAGAGTTAAGTTATAGGTTGAGAAGTTTTAAGAAGTAAAAACCAGGTGAACTTGAGAGAGGAAGAGTGAGATACTGAAAAATGGGCCTTGAAAGGACTGACTCCATCCTGTCCTTCTGAGTCTGTGCCAATAACCTAATGTATATTCTCATCGGCCTATAGTCACTGCTCCCTCTTAATTGTCCTATTTTGCAAGACCTGTTTACTTAAGCACTACTCCAATTTTAGAAAGGCCATAAACCATGAACAATACAACCCCCAGACGGAGTTAGCAATACTGGCACCAGGCCAGGCCTTGAGATATAGTCTCACTGCCCCATCCCAGCACTAGGGTTTTTTTCAAAGCCTATGAAAGGTTCGGAAGTCCCATCCCATATTTGGGAGACAAAGACAATGGGGAAGTATAAAGGGAAAATTTCCTCCATGTTTTTTTGGCTCAAGACTTTGAGAGGCAACTCCTCAGACCACTGGCGCAATAAAGACTCCAAATTTGGCTTACTGATTAAGGCGTCCTTTGTTTAGCTCGCTGATTTCCAATACAACAATACCATAAAATAAGTGACAATGAAACAAAGGAGAGCTCAAATAGACTAAACAACTACGACGCAACTCTATAAAAAATGAGGGAATAATTCCATTAATGAATGAGAAAAATAAATGGAAATGAAATAAATGAAAAGTCATGGGACTAATGAGAAATACTAGGTGCAAATTATAAACAAGCCATGGAAAAGCATAACAGAGGTGATAAATACATTCAAACTGTAGACATTGCAATAGAAGATAAGGAATATAGCATTTCATTAGTAGCCATTAAGAGCTTTTAAATGGCATGTATAATGCCAGATATAGATTTATTCTATCCATGTTTGCATCCTATGCACCCAGTTAATGCTAAAATATAGCAAGCCATACATGTTTGCTGAATAAGTGAGAGGTTGGCAGATGACTTAAAACGATGTAACTCAAATCAGTCTATTATCACCAATCCTCTACCTCCTCCCAAATTAGCTTACTAGACTCTACTCCATCTAAAATGTTTGACAGCTGCCTTTTTAAAATGTAAGTCTAGACTTCTCAAGCCAATATACTACACAGGTAAATTTTAAGCAGTTATTTAACTTTTTTCACCTTTTACATTTTTAAAACAAGACTATAAATTTTACTTATCCTTTGACAAGTGAACAGGAATCAATCTTGGGCTATGATGAATGAGCTCAATTTGGATACTTGGTTACTCATCTTTGTACAGAATCTGCATGAGTCAGGTAGAAATAGTCTCTTGACAAACCAGATAATTTTCCCTAGTTTAAATCTTTAGTATTTTCTGCACCTCTTTGTCACTTGTGCCTTAAGTATTTGGTGAGCTAATGGTATTTCATCCACTTATTAAAAAGCACATAAGGAGACATATACTCTGATTGGCATTTAAATGGTTTTAATGTCACCAACTGTTAGGGGTATTCCTAGATCTCTAGCCCTAAGGGTATAGCATGAAAAAGAAAAGAGTTACAAGCCTGAAGACACTGAGAGTTCTTCTGAAAGCTCTAAAGAGATCTCTCCCCAGGATTAGATGGTTCTAAAGATGCTTCACTTCCTTGAGTAGAACAAGCCTGTAGAATCTGTGTGGTACCTGGGAGGCCTAAGACTTTGTGGTATGTAGTATTTTCTAAAGATGTCCAAAAACAGTATCTCTTATTCCACATTTTCTTTCAACATAATCTTGACATTCTTCCCATTAAGAAGTGGAATCTATGTCACATCCCCTTGAATCTAGATAGGTTTGTTATTTGCTTGTAATGAGTGACGTTGGAAATTCCCAAGAAAATGTCAGAAAGGGTAATGCAGCTTCTGCCTGCTTGCTGGACCATTCATGCTTGAAACTCTGAGCTACCACAGAGAAGCCAGACCAGCTTAAGGCCTTCATGCTGAAGTCAAGCTGCATGGAAAAGCCATGTGTAGGCACTATATTTGGCAGTCCTAGATTTTGAGTTCTCCCAAACTGGATGCCAGATGTGTGAGTGAAGGAGCTTCAAATTATGTCAGCCCTCCAGTTATTGAGTTACTAGTCAGCCTGAGTCTTCCTAGCTGAGGCCCTAACATCATGAAGCAGATATAAGCCATCCTTGCTGTGACCTTTTGGAATACCTGGCCCACAGAATTCCTAAGCATAAAAAAAATGTTTGTCGTTTCATGAGATTAGGTGTGGGATGATTTGTTACACAGTGATAGTAAATGGACAATCTTATAGCAGTATAAACTCAAAAAACTTAAGAAAATAACCTTTGAATTTAATTATCTACATAAGTGTGGATACAGGCACACATGAATACTGACCTAAAAACAGCTTAGCAGCCTGTAAAGGTAAGGAGCAAGGTAGTAAGAGTAAAGGTTTTTCTTTACAACTTCTTTGAAAAATCTCTTTCAAGCGTCAATTTTAACTGTTACAATTATTTTTTTAAAAATTGGCTTCATTTTTTCTTCTTGATTCAAGCAGCATTTTGAAACTGGGCAAAATAATTTGTTAACTCCCAACTAATGGTTATTTTTCACTTATTTTAGCTCGGTGGTTTTTCATGTTGGCGATTTCCTACATCTTTATTAGTTTAATGAATTTTTACTACAAGATGAAAACCTCTATCAATAGTCTTTTAAATGATTGGTGAAGATCCCATTATTGAGTCATGAATTTGTCTTACTGAATAGTGACTGGCAATGTTTTTAAAAAATAAGTAGGTGGTCTAAATCTGAGAGCTATTACAGTTGAAAAGCTCAAATGTTAACTAATTAAAGAAAGATATATGTCAGCAATGACCATTCTGGTTTTAAAATAATTGGTCTGAAGCCCATTGTAACCACAATTAAATAGTAGGGACTACTCCCCAAACAGCTTGGCTGTAATCCTTATATCTTCTCATGCTTGCACATCTGTGTGGTAAGGGAGTGCCGCTTTGCTTCCAAAGACAGATGAATATCTTACCATTTTTTGGTTGTGGAGAGGAAAGAAGGGGGGGGGGGGGTTTGGGGGGGGGGGGAGGGAATAAAAGGATTAAAAGGAAATTTCAAAGGGAAATGGAAAATAACTAATTTTATGTTCAGAACTATTTGAGAGTTTGGAGATTCCTGAAGCTTTTCACTATCAATTTTCCCAAGAATAAAAGAGAATAGATGAAAAAGAACTTACACCTATATGTCAATATGTTCCTTCAATTTCTGTTTTAAGTGTTTATAAACTGATCATTTAGAACCAAAATATAAAACATTATCTTCCTAAATACTCTTTTATGGGTCCCAAAGGTTTCACATTAAAGGGGAAAAAGTTACCATTACTGTAATACCTGACAAAATGTTTTGAGCCACTTTCTCACTCCATTCAGGTAATTCCTTTGCTTTTTCTTCTGCAACTGGCTCATAGGGTACCATGTGACTCAGATTGACTTCTTCACTTGAAGTACCTTTACCCTGAATAGTAAACATGTTTCAAATGTGAAACAGTAAAGTACTAAGGGGGAAAAGTTATAAGTTTTATGTACTAAAATATTAAAACAACAAATATTAGATATAATTAATGAAATATCTCCAGCCAAACTAGTTACCACTACATTTTATAGTATAAAGTGCAATACCATAACTGCCATGAAGTTGAAAACTTTCTGGTCTTATATTTAGTCCTGGTGGTAAGTAAGATTTAAAAACCAACGTACTTCCAGTACAGCATTTAACAAATCATATTTAAAATGACATTTTTCTTTTCTTGACTAAGAGTTCCTTCATTCTGCTATAAACCCCTAGATATTAGTATGTACATGGTTAGAAGATTTCTGTTAAATGACTCAATCAGTGAGGAAGGATGTATCCAAATAAACTGGGTTTGACAGAAATCAAGTAAAAGCAAGTAAAAATATATAAACACAAAATAACCTGCCATTCCATTTGAATAGAAATGGGAACACAGAAATACCTGTACGTTGATAATTCAACAGTTATTATGAGAGCTAGAGCCAACACTCAAAATCTCAAAACTAAATTTATTCATTCTAAGAACTTAGAAGCAAGCTAACTCAGACCTTATAACTTGAAAATCAAACTTCTCAACAGAAATACAAAGAGAACTTCACTTAAAATAAAAACTTCTACACAGGCGAAAAGCCACTCATAAGTAAAAACTCCCTACTGCTTCCCACATCAGCAATATGCCCACACTTATTTCTGAGGCCAGGTTGTACATTAGAGAGAAGGTACAACCTAGCTTTCTATACAATCTATGTACCTTCATCTAATAATCACACTAGACAGAAATGATCTCTTTGTTGACCTGTCCTCCCCACTAAATGGTCAATTACTTGAAATGAGAAATTTAAACTTTTCCCACTACGCTCAACATTCTAGCACTTAATATTTACTAACTCTAATCCTGATGTACCACTTATAGCATACTAGAGGCCCGGTGCACGAATTCATGCACCAGTGGGGTCCCTCAGCCTGGCCTGCGGGATCGGGCTGAAACCAGCTCTCCGATATCCCCTGAGGGGTCCTGGATTGTGAGAGGGCGCAGGCCAGGCCAAGGGACCCCACCAGTGCATGATCGGGGCTGGGGAGGGACGCAGGAGGTTAGCCAGCCGGGGAGGGACTGTGGGAGGGCTCTAGGCCATATCCGGCCTGTCTCACTCAGTCCTGATAGGCTGGACCCCAGCAGCAAGCTAACCTACCAGTTGGAGCATCTTCCCCCTGGTGGTCAGTGCACGTGATAGCGACTGGTTGATTAGTCGACTGTCTGCCCCCTGGTGGTCAGTGTACGTCATAGTGAGCGGTTGAATGGCCTTAGCATATCATTAGCATATTACACTTTGATTGGTTGAACGGACGACCAGACACTTAGTATATTAGGCTTTTATTATATAGGATCATATACTCAGAATCTAAGAAATGAAAGAAGAAACCACTAAATAACTACAAAATATGTTAAATAACCCATCCTCTGTCTTGTTGACCATCAAGAAATAAGGAACTGAATAAAAATGGCAGTCTAAGAAAAAGCATACCTAGCCCCAAGATCTTAGTGTATATAGGAAGGTGGAGAACAACACAAAACAAAAAAGTATGTGCATCATTAAGGTAAATATCAAAATCTTTCAAATTGTTGCAAAAAAAAAAATCTATCCCTCAAAACATAGAATATCTTTTAAAGCACTTTAAGTAACAAACACTTGGAAAGGGAAATATTAAAGCTGCTAATTATGTTTACTAGTAATCACTTTGTAACTCTACAAATTGTGCCATTTTTTTTAGTAAATGGGGCTAAGATCTTATAAATAATTGAAACTGGTTAAAGGTACCTTTGATTAGAACACATACACAGACCTCACTGCTCTTTTACTTAATTTACTTACCTTCTTACCCCGTTTTCCTTTATGACGTATATCCTTACTACTTTGGTCCAATGAAGGATCCAATTGTCCCACATCAGACACACTGGCTTCCTTTAGTTGGTCAGAGGGGCATCTTGCTCTGCCAGGGATTTGGAATTCATTTTCTCCTTCAGCCCGGTTCCAGTTTGCCTAGGAAGTAAAGGACTAAGATTAGCTCAAATCTGACTTTTTCCAGATGACTTTCCTCTAAGCTATGGTACATCATGGTCTAATAATACACCTGGTCAGATGTCAGTGTTTGACAGTCTTATTTTAAATACAACTATTTTTGTTTGTCTTTCCCCTATATTTCAGTTTTATCTCATCACCAAACCTCAAACCTTTGAGTTTGTTAGTTCACAGCATATGACCTAAGTCAAATTTCAAAAGACAAAGAATAAAAAATTTACAGCAGTTTGTTGGTATAAGCTACCATAAAGTCAGATGCAGCTACATGTGAATTTAATTATATAATAACTAATATGTTTTAGGAATAAGACTAAATAAGTTTAAAGGCAATTAACAAAACTCATGTCCAGTTTAACTACTCTGAGTTGTTAGAAAGCTGATTGCTGATTTTAAAAAAGGGTTTTTTTGCACTTAATACTAAAGGTATTTCGCTAGCATACACTTTGCTGAATGAATACTTAAAGAGTGAAAAAGACAGGTCAAAATTATTGCTGGTAACTAACTTCTGTTTACAGTTGGAGTTTTGGGACAACAGAGAAAACAACAAACCACATGCAACCAAAAAATAAAACTCAACAGAGATAAATATATAACCTAAAAGTCAGTTTAATTTCTTTTCTAAAGCCCCAGTAATACAGAGCCTATGAATGTAGGGGTGAAGAGAAAAACAGCTCCATGATTGGTCTGGAGTACTAAATAATGTCACTTCATTCTGCTAGTAAACAATAAAGCTAAGACACTCATATACATATTTCACCATGTTCCTGCCTTTGTAAACTCCTCTCAATGAACACACAGTCTACCCACACTTCTGTATGGGGATCATGTTTTGTTAGCATAGATTAAATGTTTAGCATTGACTATGCTAAAGTACAGGGGTCCTCAAACTACGGCCCACGTGCCACATGCATATACAAATATTGTATTTGTTCCCGTTTTGTTTTTTTACTTCAAAATAAGATATGTGCAGTGTGCATAGGAATTTGTTCATAGTTGTTTTTTTAAACTATAGTCCGGCCCTCCAACGGTCTGAGGGACAGTGAACTGGCCCCCTGTTTAAAAAGTTTGAGGACCCCTGCTAAAGTATATGTTGATCACCAGGTCATTTACATTTACACAACTTAATGCTGAGATGACTCTCTACCCTTTTACTTAGCTGGTGAACTGCTCCCATCATCTTTGATCTTTTAAATATAAGTATGGATTCAAAGTGTATTCTACTTCCTGAGAAAACAGGAACAAATCTTTCAAAACTTAAATAAAAGTGAACTACAGTTGATCCTTGAACAACACAGGTTTCAATTGGTGGGTTCACTTTTATGTGCATTTTCTACAATAAATACTGTAAATGAACTTCTGGCCAAGATGGTGGAGTAGGTAAACACTGTGTTCATCTCCACTCATGCCCACATCAAAATCACAACTAAATTGCCCTGGTCAGCATGCTCAGTGGTTAGAGTGTTTGCCCATGCACCAAAGGCCTCAGGTTCAGTTCCTGGTCAAGGGCACATACCTGGGTTGCAGGTTCGATCCCCAGCCCCAGTTGGGGCCCATGTGGGAGGCAACCAATCAATGTGCCTCTCTCACATCAATGTCTCCT